AAGAGAGAGAGAGAGAGAGAGAGAGAGAGAGAGAGAGTTCTTTTCATTCTAATCCCTTATCTCTTAGCAGTAAAAAAATGCTAACAAAACTTAGGGGGAATCTTCACATTGGGGAACTGGGGGTCTACAATAAGCACTGAACACTGATCCCCAATTTGATCTTTCACTCAGTCTTCAGCATGCAGAGGCTTTCTATCACTAAACATCTTTCCATGGTGGATATAGTGCTCCTACCTGTCATTCTAGCATCTGGGAAGCCTGGGAAGGTAGATTGCTTGTAACAATTATTAAATTGCCTGTAACAATATATTGTGTGGCAAGAGACCCACTTTCTGAGAGAATTCTCTGACGTCTGGCACATTATTACTGCAAAGCTTTGGGGAAAATAATTTCACTTCCTAAATGACTCACCTTTGTTGGCCTGTTGAAAAGGCAGGCCCCGCCACCCCTCTGTAAAAAGTCCCTGTACTCGGAGATGCTGCACTTTGAGAACTTTCGGGAGTGTGATACCCTTGAGAAACAAAGAAGCAAGTATGTAAACAATTTGACAAAAGCAACCACAAGAGAAGAAGATTAAAAGCCACTGAATGTCCACTCTGGATGTAGATGAATCTGTACAAATATTGACAGGACATGTGGACCCAAGTGGCTATGTTTATGGGATGGAGTATGTAAAAGAAAGAAAAAGAAAAACCATCACAGAACTAGGGGTTTGGTTACTTCCCAGCTACCAACCTCCTGAAATCTGTCTTGAAACACAACTTGAAAGGATTGCCATAAAACCTTAAATCAAAGCTAGGTTTTAAAGTTTGATTATTTTTCATTTACTATGTCTCCATAATGGTAATCTTTTTTTTTATTCTGTTCTGAATAAAAAGGTTTCACCAGCCTACTAGACCTTGTATTTTGGAAGAGGGAGTCAGGAAGGTTGATTTATTAAAGACAATGTTACTCAGGCTTCAACAGTCCAAATTTTAAGTAAATGAATAAACCCTGAAGAATACGGTGGATCATACATGCATATGTTATCAGTGTGTATGCCCACAGCAAAAAAGAATTAAGGCATGCTCCCATGAGCAATGGCTCTTTATTCTTCATTTCAAATACAATTATTGAGCAATATTCATGATTTAGCATGAATAAAAAATGAACCTCTCTGTGATTTATTCAATCAAATTAAGACCCCTATGTCAATACACAGGGGAATAGCATACACACATCAAGGTTAAGCTAAATCATACACGATGGTTCCTTGGGACTGTCTGCAATAGTGCCCGATGTGAGAGTCTATCCTAGGATATAATTCAATAGTTTATGTATTCTGCTATATGAGGGTACTTGTAGAATTAAAACTCACCTCTATTGACAGTGATGTCCTACAAGAAGTATATCAAATATACTCCTTTTGGAGAAAATGTACATTAACTTCAAATAGTTTATTACATCTTATGAGTATTCAATCCAAAACTCATTTAGAAATTGACAGCTTAAAAGAAAACAATATTGCCATATAAAACCAACATTATGAATGGTACTGTTCTCTATGTCAGCTATTAAGCCTGTGTCATCATACAGGACTCAACTATGGAGCACAAGTATTGTGGCTGGGGAGGACAAGCACTTGAACTCTATGTCAAGGAATATGTTCTGAAGTCACAGAGATAAAAGCTAGCTGCACAAACCTTCTCTTCTCCAGGGTCAGCTGGAAGAAGAAGGAAGGGGCCCTGTGGAAGGATATAGTACCTTTACTAACCAGTGCAGAACAAAGGTAGGACCAGAAATTGGAAGATGCAAGTGTTTGGTCTATGCAAAGATAGTAAGAGACACCTCTCCCTACCAATACAAGTGGTCTACAGTTTAGAAGGCCTAGTGTCAGTCGCCTGCACAGGGCAGGTGTCCTGTAGAAATAGCATTGATTCCAGGGCTCGTTAGACCGGGTGCTAACAGCTGGTCCCATTATGTAAGTGCCCACCAAGGAAAGATAGGTGAATTAATGTTGATTGTCTACCACATGGCAACTCTCTTGTTTAGGCATTATAACTCTGAATTAAAAAAAAAAAAAAAGCTCTGTTGACTCTATAAACAGTATACTACAAATTTATTACCATAAACATGTATTTATAAGTTCCTAAAAATGTAAATGGATGACTGAATTGATTTTTACTGACTGCTTCAGATAGACCATCTGCTTTTATTCTAAGTATATTAAAAGATTAATGCCTCCCCTAACTGCAGATGCTTTTAGTCATGTGACTCCTGTAAGGGTTAATAAACGTGGCTAATACATTTCACTTCTCTCCCCAACCTTAAATTAAAAATTAAAATATAAAGTGAATTAGCACTGTCAGTTTTAAAATATCAGACAATTAATTATTGAATTTATACTAAGTGCTTAGCCTAAAAGACCAGTACCTGAGAGACCGTGTCTCTAATGATTATATATGCAGCAATTTTTGAAATTTGAGAGTAATGCAGACTCACCCTGTTTCCTCCATGATGCAGCCGCCCCAGGACTCTATGCATTCACATTCTAGCCCAATGAAACAGCAAGAGCAACAAAGGGAGGGAGGAAAACAAAGTCACAGCTTCAATTTGCACCAGCTCCTGCAAAAATTCCTCAAAACCACTTTATGCCAAAGAAACACAGTGCCAAGTCTCCCCTATTTCCTTTAAATCAATGGTTCCTTATGCCTGGAGTATAGGTTGCTTCCTAAGAAAAAAACTTGGGCCTCTCTTCATTTTTGTAATTCAGACACCTCAATTAGAGTCATAAAATCCAATATCAGAAGTACCATGGGCTAGAAACAAAAGGCTGCATTCTAGTCTACCACTAGGGAATAGAGAAGCCACTCAGCTCTTTTTCTTTTTCTTTTTGGTGGAGGGGGGAGGTAGGGTCTGGAGTTGGGTGGAAGCTGCTTCTAAGATGAAAGTTGTGTCTCTCTGCCTATCTTCCAGAGTGGTTCTAGGGATGACACAGATGGCAACCCTGAATGATCTGTAAGAATACAGCACAATGTCACCAAAGTCCATCAGACACAGAGCTGTTAAAGAAAGGAATTCAATTTGCTGGAGTCACTGCTGGGATCAGCCAGAGACTTGGAGAACAATCTCACCCTGGGCTACTATACCATTCAATCCAGAAACATCTCTCAACTGACCCCAGTACTGGCCTCCAGGGTTTTCAACTAAGTTATTAAGCCTGGTGATTCTCCTTCCTGATTCTGAGCTTTCTGAAACTTTTATGTGGAGTAGTCACTTCCGGTGAGAAAGCAAACTTTCTGAGCAAGTAAAGAAAGTTTGTAGAGACTTGCAAAATGCAGCAGGTGTTGCCGTGACTGTGTGCTTGGTCATTAATGTACCCATAAAGGGAATCAAGCCTGTGGATACAAGATGCTATTCCGCTTCCCCACAGTACTATATATTAATCACACAGAGGACAGCATGAAAGATAATGCATTTTGCTTTTCTTCTCTGGGAAGATCTCAGTGGGAAAAGAGCTTTTTACTCCTAGCTCTCACGATTATAATAAGAAGATGGGGACTTTAGCTTATTTTCTCATTAAATGAACAATGGGTGAGCATGCCACTCTCTTTCTCCACAAGGTCCTATTGTGATGTTTTGCTTTCTACCACAAAAATGTATCAAAATTACATTTGACTACCATGATAGCACAAAGGGGACTATAATTTAAGTTGGACTTTATCCTGCTTTTAAAAGAAATGAGATACAGACATTAGCCTGATTTTAAAAGAAATTAGGTATTTCCATGAGCTTCTAAATCTCTGCTGGTCCCTTAGTACTTGGACTACTAGCTAAACTGATTCTTTCCTTCCTTTCTTCTCTCATCTTATCAGTGAAAATATTGATCAAATAAAGTGACATTAACAGTCACTTGTCTTACTTTGGTTGCTGCATTGGTCAGGGGCCAGGGATGAACTCCCTCTTGAACCAAGCTCTGTACCAGAGGGCCACTGTCCTCCTCCTACCCATCCCAAGTTTAAAAGGCCAGAGGCAGGCTTCTCCAGCAAGGAGAAGCAGGGGTCTAGCCCTTCAGGATGTGACTGTGTGAGCAAGGGTCACGAGCACTTAAATATGAGCTCCTTGTCTTTTCTAGAGCTCAGCTCCTTCCAAGTCTACTGTATCTTTGAGAAACCTTTCCATGGAGCTATAGCTGCCATGTTGTGTCTCTGCTCAAATGGTTAAGACTTAGAGAAGTGTATTAATCACCATCACCCCACCTTGTCTCAACAATCTCGATGTAAGAAAGAATATATGAGCTTATGGATTTTGAAAGAGAAATGTCTCCCGCCTAAATAGCCTAATAATTATCTCAAGCTGCTCAAGATTTTTTTAAGGAATGAGATAGCACTATAATAAAACTACGATGACTGAGGAATAAAAGATTCTCAATGACTGGACATGCATTACACAGACAGAAGGATACATGAACTCGAGTAAGGTCAGTGTACATACTTGGCTTCCTACTAGAAGGTTCCCACTGGATTCCAAGGTTTTGAGCCAGGCTCTGCGATAACACTTGTGCCACTGCCATTGGAAGACCATACTGGTTTTCAGAGTTGAAAGTGGGTGGGAAACATTTGAGAGGATGCACAGAGACAGTTATTATTCCTTAATTGTTAGCACTGTCATTTCACGTCCCTAAGCAGAGCTTTACAACATCTAAAGGTGGTTTATGCTCGTTCATCATTTCTCCCTTGAGACGGTGCCACTAGAAGCATGGAGAACATGAGGTTTGCACGTGGAAACAGAAAATACAAGTCACCAAGGCTGTGCTCCAACTCAGTGTGGACTAAGAATAAACTCAACACAATGCAAATATGTCAAGAAAGGTTGCCAGCTGAACAACTGGGGTTACCTGGTAAGACATTCACCAGTGTTGGCCAGGATTTTGATATAATTGACTAGGCTTTGGGGTGCTTCTTTCAACTAAGAGTTTTTATACTAAAGGTACCCAAACAATGGTTCTATGAAAACATTTGTTTTAATTCATGTCAAACTTAAGTAGAAAATGTAAACATGAAAATTTATATAGAGAGACAAACTATAATCTATAAATTTTTATTTAAATGAGTTAATTCTAATATATGCACAAAAACACTAAAACCTAAAAAAAAAAAAGGCATAGGAAAAAGTAAGATCAAGTTTATGAAAAGCTTAACATCTCAACTATATAGGCCTAAAGAAATCTCTGAGTCAATTTTCAGGTAATGTTTACACTTTGCAAAACTACCATGATGATATCCAAAGCCATCACTATGAACTTAAAGGAGGGCTTTGGGCCCTGTTTACTGATCTGTCATTCATGCTACATCCTCAATGTCATCATCTAAAAAATTCATTGTTATACACTGGGCCTTAATAAAGAAAGATATCAGTTGCAAAGACAGAGTACTAGTTAAAGAAAGCATGAAATTTACCTCATTTACACCGACCCCTCTGATGCGAGAACACACACCTCCAAAGTAACTAAGACTGCTTCTCTTATAATGGAATGTCACACGCCTTAGGGAAACAAAAGACTGTTAGAAAACACCACATAAACACTCCCCAAACATAAGTATCTTCCCACACCTTACAGCCTGAAAACCATCCTCAACTGGAAGTAAACTCTTTTTAAGTATGTTTCATAAAGGTGAAGATGAGAAGGAAGAAAGGAAAGTGCTGCTTGGTTTAATGGCAGGACAGAACCATGTGTGAAAACAGTTTTACCACGAGAGGGAAAGAGGAAGATGGAAGAGAAATATAGCCCTCTTCCTTAGTGACAGAAACATAACTGCATTCAATGGTCCATCTAAAAAGACATTTTCTAGACTTCCTACAGCTAGGTGTGGTCACGTGAATGTGATCTAGCACATTCTGTGAACTGGATGCACACGGGCTCAGGATACCTGCCCTACAGACATTGACTTTACAGAAGGCGCACCCCCTTGCCCTTCTCCCAGCCTGGCATTCTCGCTGCCTGCAATGATGGCAACAGTACCAGCAGCTTCTTGGATTGTGATCTGAACTTAAGGATGGAAGCTCTGCGCTCCCACAGTAGAGCTGGTGGCCATGGAACCACAGCATCCCAGCCCTGGAATTCTACCTTTATGAACAGAGAAGGGGATCAACAGCAACTTTGTAGAAGTCACTGCTCCCTGATATGTAACATAACTGAGAGAGTAAGGACATAAAGATAAATGCCCAAACTGCAATAAGAGCCAGAAGGGGCACATACGAGATGAGATGGACCGCATCGGCATGCTGCTTGATACGCTGCCGGTACTTGGAGAATTCATACAGCATCTGCACAGGGTTGATGGTGATGTCAATTTGATCCTTCTCGGTCCAGGTCTCTACAGCCACCAGGACAACCCTGGTATTGAGCTGTTCCTTGTAAATCTGAGGGTATACAACAGGACAGGTGCAGGAGGAAAACACTGGGTCAAACATGCACAATCAGTGAGTCAATCAGCGGAGGGGAGGAAGGGGAGGTGAGAGAACATGGGGTCAGAATTAGCTAATCATACACAATATGCTTTTCCTTTCTTTTTTTCCAAGAGCCAAAACAAAGAGGAAAAATCACACACAAGTCAATACTCCTTGCTCTCCTAAAGACTGATCCCACCCCACCTCAGCATCTTCAGTTGCCTGGCATCTTACGAGAGGGATGTGGGGATGACAAGACTCTCAAGTCAAGACCTGCTCTGACAATGGGGTTCAGCAAAATAACCTTTCCAAATCCCAGAGGAGGCAACAAGCCGGAGCCTGACATAGTGACTCTAAGTGTAATGTAACCTGCAGGGTTAGGACAGCTCATCAAGCGGTACAGCTGCCTTGCCACACAACATAACAACTCTCAGAGTGAATCACAGATCTGAGGCCAAGAAAGGGGATCAAAACAGATTTGCGTCACCAATCTTATCCTCACTGCAGAGTGGCATCACTCATAGACAGCTTGTTATTCTTCTGTTCTCTCTACTTTGGGCCAAATAAATAACTCACAGAATTAAGCAACTCCAATGAGAGCTGCCATGTTGTCTTACTTTTACACTAAGAAAACAAATGAACAGTCTTTGATGACATTGAATAAAGAAATTATCATCAAATTGAGGCTATAATGGCTTGCACAAAGATGAGTTAAGTGTAATATATTTTTGCAATGAACAATCAGCTTCGGAACTTTATAAATTTAACACAAACTAAAAATTAAATTTTGCAAAGTATGAGTCTATTCAATCATGCAAAAATTACTAACACAGAGATGCTGCCTAATAAATAGCTTCTGCATGAGAAAAGATGTATTTAAGATTCTCTTTTCCATATCCATCTATGGCTTTCCTCTGAGCAGATTGACAAGAGCTGAAATTAAAGAAAAGTAATAAGGCAGATGTAAACTGGCTCTCAGGGGCTCAACCTTAATTTTATATTACAGATTCTATGCACATCAACTCATATTACAATTTTGTCAGCTGTGCCTATGAGGCACATAACATATGCTAGGTGCACAAAATATGTTATGAATATTTACATGATGGGTGGTTTGGGGCTGTTTAAAAGGCAGATCCTCAGAGTGAGGAGCATTTAGATGCTTGGCAATTTATAAAAAGGATTTTTTTTTCACAGTTAAGAGGGACCATACAATAAATACAAGATAAAAATACATTTAGCCTAACAAAGTAGCACTTCACGGCAGAATACATAAATTAATTTATGTGAGTCAAATTGAATTATTTATTGGAACATAATGTAAGAAATTCAGCTCTGTGGGGTTCTTACCAATGCAGGAAACAAGAAGAAAATCTAACCGATCATTCTTTGGAACTTATGAAGTGACAGGAGGGAAAAGCAAGTCAATAGTGGGAGATATGGGGGTCAGACCTCCTTTGAAGGAAGTAGACATTTCATTGTTTCAAATTATTTTATGTGGCAATGGCATCCAATTCTATCACTTAGAATACTAGAAATTAAGTCTGAAACATTCCACTGCGGGAGAACTAAGATAACAAATACATGGCCTTGAAATTTTCATCTATCTAAATCTTCTAAACACACGCTGCCTCAATCCATTAGGACTACTCGACTTGCGAAAAATATTTAGGAAAAGCTCAAGTAGTTATTAATAAAGTCTCATTTGCAAAGGATAATTTCCAGCTTCACAGTCTTCCTCCATCGCTCTTTATCCCCCACGGACTCCAGTAATAACAGAGGCAATGCTATACAATTACTGTGGGTTAATAAAAATTTCTTACTGTTTAAGGAGGTGGCAATGCTGGTTACTCTGATTTGCTCATTAGATACCATACACATGTATCAAATTATCACACTGCACCCCACAGATATGAAGAATTAAAATGATAATTAATGAAAGTCAATAAGCTTAAAAGAAAGAAACAATGCTGAAGTGTCTTGGGAATTCTGAGAATTCTAAAGCCCAGAATACATTTTTACAAAGCTCACCACCCAACAGTTTCTTCACCAGGATATGAATATGAATATGTTTGGATATGTATGTGAATACATTTATTTCGTCCAAGAAATTACAAACATAATCCGTGAATAGAGAGAAAGAGACATAAGCCATGCTTTTTGGGATTAATGAAAAGGAGTTTCAAGAAAACCAGGCTACTTACAGAATCTACAAGGTTGACCACAGACTTTGCGAAGTTATTGGTATGCGCGTGAGAAGAGCGGTGCTTCTTATACTGGAGGGAGAGAAGATGACTAGTCACCACCAAGTCTTAATTGACACTAAAAGCCAAATTTTCAGAGAAGCAGAAACCTCTGAGAGATACTAGAAATGCAGCTCAAAAGGTTAGAAATTGGTTTGTGCCACACTGGAAATAGTGTTGCATTTTTTTTTCTACAGTCCAAACCCAGGCAGCAAAACTGTAAAACACTCAAGATATCCCAGGGCCTGAGGGAGCCTACAGAAGTATGTATGGAAATTCTGTCCCTAGAAGTCAACTTTTAATTCAGTCTTAACAGCTACCTATTCAGTTCTTTTACTTTCATAAAAATGAATCTTTACCATTTACAAAGGGCTTAGACCAAAACCCAGTCTCAGTCGGACAACTTTTTCACTTTCAACTCAAGGCCATGCACAGGTCAAGACCATTTCTCTTCATGTAGCTCTTCAGATATTGTCCACCAGAGTGAAGCATTTGTCTTGCATTTAGTAAATTCCTCCTGAGGATGGCGCTCCTACAGCAAGCCTTTATTCTTAATGATCAAAGCCAACAAGGATCCAGAAAGTCAAAGGAAGTATGCCAAACAATAATGGCTCTTTCCATATGTCAATACGTATGCCTGGCATAGTGATGCACACCTATAATCCCAGCATCTGTGAGACTGGGGTACGACCATCCCTTAAGTACAAGAGCTCAAGAACTGTTTGCACACAATAACAAGGCCCTGCCTCAAGAACAGAGCAAAACATCTATGGGCATTTGTTTGAGTTTGGGGGAGGCTTTGTTTTGTTTGTAGTACAGGAGATACAGCCCAAGATTTCATACTCTACTGTTTAGAGCAAATGTTCTAAATGGCACTCCACCTCCCCACTAAAGGGCCCTATTTTTATCAAGGAGTAGCACACTTTACTCAACATATGGTGAAGAGGAGGACATTTGAAAGCTCAAGTCTCCTTGAGCTGCCCCATGGGGCTATTGTTACTTTTACAACCACGAGAAAAAAGAAAAATATGCTTTAAACTAAGTCTTTGAAATTTGTCTTCAATTATAGTTATTAAATCAATTGTACCTTTCAGAAAGATTAAGAATATTTAATGCATAATAAAAATTGTAATCTTTTGTTCTCATATAATCTTTACATACTTCCCAAAGACCCTACCTCTGAATACCATGACCATGTGAATTTGGGAACTGTTCCTAACACATGAATTTCAAATGGCACATTTGGGACCAGTCCAGGAATTCTAAACTGTGATTTAGAGGAACCAAATGAGAGCTGCCTATTCAGTATCAAAGCAAAGATGCCAAGTTCACAGTTCCCTGAGTATGGAAATTGGAGGTCTAGAGCTCTAAAGTAGGGCTCAGAGATCCAAAGATGTGATCCTAACCAAAGACCTGAAACTGGAAGCTGTCAGGGAGACAGCATGCAACAGAGCCCTGAGCCAACTTAAGAGGCTAGGGATGGGGAGTGGGTACATACATAATCTGAAGAGTCGGATATTAAATAGAGTGAACAACAGAGAGAGAATTACTGTCTTAGAAACCAGAAGAGAAGAAAGCTGTTCAAAAAAAGAAGGAAGGAAGGAAGGAAGGAAGGAAGGAAGGAAGGAAGGATGAGGCTGGGGAGGGTGACAGTGTACTCGCTAGATTCCCAGCCCCACAGAGAAAACACTTGTCTCATTGCCTTGAAACTCCATTTACTTAGGCACTGACTCACACTTTCTATGAGAAACTGTGTTTCTCCTACAACAAATATTCATTCCTTACAACTCTATGAAGTGAGATTTATTATCCCCCAATAACTTATCTGGGATCATGGGGCTGAAAAAAATTGTCTTATTCTGGACTAGAAGATGAGATTAACTTGTTCAGTTAAAAATTCTTATGAAAGAGCTATAAACTATTGTTTATTATATAGCCCCAACAAGTCAGGATTACTGATGAAAATTTATAATTTGCTTGGTGCATAAAGAATACAGTGGTTTTTAAGTAAGGAAAACCAAATGAGGTTTTAATTGAAAAAATATTTGAGTCATTATCGATTTGCCCTTATTGGTTCATATTAAATAACTTGGCAGTAATGGTAGCAAAACACTGGCTTTGCCCGTGCTTTGAAATATCTCAACCAATTTTTTATTAGGCAGTTTTTAATATTTATTTTTATCTTAAGCAACTCAAAGAAATGTTTGCAGACTGTTATCAAGCTATAATTGCTCACAAATTAGGTTCCGCCAGCTAGGTACCAAGATGCTTTCTACAAATTTGAGAGATTTTTTTTTTCTTCCTAATTGAAAGCCACTGATAATTGGGCTGCTTGTTCAAAATACGATAGGTGCAATTCTTCAGGCAGCCAATATTAGAGGGAAGCTTTAATGCAAATGTGGGCAAAATGTTTCCATTTCCTGCATGAATGAGAACTAATTTGGCAAATAAAGAAAAATGTTCCAGTTCCATTTATGATAAAACTTACCTTCACATTTTCTGATCACTGAAAACCATTTCCATTTAAACCAGCAAATTGGCTTTCACTTCCTGAATAAATGAGCCCCTTAAGAAATGTGCCCTTTTGAAAACAATTAAAGCTGAACCTTATTTTCAACCCAAAGGTAAGAATTATAAAATCCCGCTGGCTCCTACAGTACAAACACGGCAAGATGGGGCTTCTCGGTGGGACGATTATGCTAAAGCCCAGCAGCAAATCTCCAGGTGTAAAAAACTGACTTATTCACTTACGCTGGCTCACTCTGGCTTGCAGCACAGAAATGCTCCGCTCTCTACTCAGGTTTGGCATCTTTGCAGCAATTATATCTTAAAACTTCATTTGATAGGAAGATTACCTCAAAGGGGGGCTTTTCTCAGCTCTTGTGAGGGTTCTTAAAAATAAATAACCATTTGGGACAATGAGAGAACAGAATGCAACCTGGTCTTAAAGCAAAGGAAATATTTAGTGCTATTAGTCCAAAGTAATATAACCATTCAAAAATCAAGTTGTTTGTTTGTTTTCATTTTTAAAATACATTCCTCCCAAATTCATCATTTCAATACCATGCCCTATTCTCATGCAATATGAATTTTTGTAATGCAATGAAAACCCAAACTTTCTTGATTTAAAAGCTCAGATTTCTTTTTTAATTAAAATATGTGGGCTGGTGAAGATGACTCCGTTGGTAAGAGCGCTTGCCTGGCAAGCCTGACTACAGTTCAATCCTCTGAGCACACATTTTAAAAAGAGCCAGACCTGATGGCAGGCATCTGTAATCCCAGCACCCCAAGGGTAAGGCTGGGAGTGGAGATGGAATTGCTAGTTAGCCTGGAGCACTGCATGCCAGAGACAAGCTGGAAGGAAAACACTGGTCCCTAAAAGCTGACCTCTGACCTCTGACCTCCACACCATGCATACCTACAACCACGCACATCATACACACACACACACACACACAATAATAAATGTTTAAAATCAATTAAAAGATATGATGCCCCAAGTAACATGATCAGTTTTATAACAAACATGTAGTATAAGCAATGTTTTCTCTGCAGAAAAATAATATTTTTAAGAAAGGAGCTATTGTGTTCTATGTACAACTGGGGGCACTGTGGTACTCTTATGAGCTTTCTCTCTCTCTTTCTCTCTCTCTCTCTCTCTCTCTCTCTCTCTCTCTCTCACACACACACACACACACACACACATACACATATGCACTAATAATAGGGAATAAATAAATCTTTAAAGAATTGATGTTCTCAGTTACTCATTTGGGAGGAATGCACATGCACTTTGCATGTTCAACAGTGTGGTATCTCTAAATTACAAGACTTGTTTAGTGAACATTAGGGAAAGCTGGGCTTATAAAGACATAATTTTACAGCATACAATAGCCATGAGGTTTGAAAATTAGTTGGGAAGACTCTCAGTCAGTAAAAGTGGTTCAGATGGAGATGGCCCCACCAGCAACATGCAGAAACTCATATTTAAGCCTTTCTTAAAGCAAGTCACCACCAGAACATTTGACTTTCCTTACTAGAAATTCCTTCTCCTAAGTTATGTTATATACAATTCTAACAAATTTTCCTTCTTACTGGTATATCTCGAGAAATTTTTTTAAAGACTAACAGAAAATTAAGTTGTCTACAAAAATAAAAAGAATTCCATGGGAAAAAATAATTTTAAGCACAACTAAATTAGTACTTAGTAATTAATGGCAATTAATTTAAATATCCATTAAAGTAAAAGACTCAAATAAAAAAATAAATATACAATAAACCTTTGTGATGTACAGTTTCAAGGGTTTCTCTGAGAAGACTCTGTTGAATAGAATTTCATGTGGTCACCCTGCCTGGAGAGTGGTGGGTGGATGGGATGGGGGGTAGGTTGGAGGTAGGGGAGAAGGAATGGGGGTGAGGGGAGGGAGAGGGAGAGGGGAATTACATGTGAAACAAGCCTGTTCCCTAACTTGAATTAATAATAATAATAATAATAAAAAGAGAAAAAAAAGAATTTCATTTGGCCAGTTTAGTACAAAATACAATTTTATCGTATAGTTCACTAACTTTGGTTTTCTTAAAATAAAGCAAGGACCTCATAAAAACTTAAATTTTTATTCCAATATTTTATAAGGTTTTACCCATATCTGACTTTTAAGTATTTTTTCAAAGTTCTACCTTCATGAAGACTTTCAAAAATACAATTCTACATCCATAAATTCAACTAAAATCAACTAATGAGCAATTTTTAGAATTAAACTGCATAACTATAGCAAAATAATCACTGGCTTAATGAGTTTGGAGGTGAGGCAATGGTGAGGCCAGATGCAAAAGATTAGAAAAAAAATCACTTAATCACATCCTTACCTAGCTTAAATTAACAGTCTCAGTAGCTTGAAATCAGCTATCATGGGAACAGTTAAACACTGGTCATGAGCTAATACTTTAAAAGTGTATCGAAAAATTTACCCGTACACCAGCAGCACTGGGCACGATAGCACACAGCCTAGGCCAAAAGATGCTCGGATGATGGTGATGGAAAGGCTAAGTAGAGAATGATTGTAAGGGTCTCAGATGGAGAGTGGTGCTTTCTCTCCGTATTTCTCTTAACCGTTGCCAGAATGCAATGTATTTTTCTTCCACGGGTGCAACACAAAGTTATTTATATTGTCAATATTTAGTGAAATAAAATACTGGTTTAAAACAGTCTCTTTTGATAGCTCTTTCATTGTTTGTTTATTTGCTTGCTCATTGCTAGGGATAGAACCCAGAGCCTCACACACACACACATACACACACACACACACACACACACACACACACACAGAACAAAGGCATAGAATAAAATAATGAATCAATGACCAAGCATCTGGATGTGAAAAGCAGACACTAAGCATTTTAAACATAGACAAGTGAAAAATGTCATATTGTTAAAACTCTACCCATTATAATCTCTATTAGAGAGATAATTTGAAGCTATAAAAATTAGTTACTGTCTCTTTTTCATCTAGAAACAATGATCAGTTAGAATCACCAAAAGACTGTGTCTAAATATCTGTACTTTAGTAAGATATAAATGAGAGTTGAAAGTGAAATGCATTTCTTGTTTAATAAGCTACTGGGCATTTTTGGTGGTTTCAATGAGAATGACTCCCATAGACTTGTATATTTGAATGCTTAGTCGATAGGTGGTGGAACTGTTTGGGGGGGGGGATTAGGAAGTGTGGCCTTGTTGGAGGAGGTGTGTCACTGGGGGTAGACTTTGATGTTTTAAAAGCCAATGCCGCACCACACCTGCTTGCTGATCAAATGTGAGCTCTCAGTTACTGCTCCAGCACCCTGCCACCCTGCCTGCCTGCCTGCCTGCCTGCCTGCCTGCCTGCCTGCCTACCTGCCTGCCACACTTCCCATCTTAATGATCATGGACTCAGCCTCTGAAGCTGTAAGCAAGCCCTTGATTAAAAGCTTTCTTTTATAAGTTGCCTTGGTCATGGTGTCTCTTAACAGCCATAGAACAATGGCCAAGACAACATCAATTCTGTATTCTTACCATCTTGTGATCATTAACAATCATAAGCTCCAAATACTTCATTTCTTCAAACACACCTCGTGATGGCTAAAGAAAATAAGAAATTCATGGTTAGAATAGTGATTGACATAAAGCACCTCTATTTCTCAATAAGTAACAGATAAGCCTTGAATTTCAGAACTCTGCATAGTAAAAATACCCCAAAAAGAAGCCTCATGAGACAATTGTTCATACATGGCTATAAAGTATCGGTGAACAGACAAGAATTTAGAAAAAAACAATTTCACTATCTCTGTTCATCATAATGGGAAATAGGTCATGTTGTTCCTGTATGTTTTTCTCTATGTAAAATTAGTCTAGAGAAAAATGCATAGCATAGTAGCTAAAAATAAGTAAATTTCCCTTTCTAAGGCATTAAATGATAAAACATTATTTACTTAAAATGTCAAGGGGAATTTACTTTAAATTCATTTCATGAGAACATGAGGCATCTCTGAACTAGGAATCAGGGTGGGCAACAGGAATTAACTGAATGGAGTGGAACAGCGTGCCACTTCCAGCTACTAGCAGGAATAAAGCCTGACAGATTACATGGTAGGAATAAAGACTATTTTACTTCTCATTTACACTTATTTCTTTTCATGGTTGAAAAGTTAATAACGGTGGTTCATCTTCTTTGTGTGCAGAGTAACAGATCAGCCTGGGGTAGACCGTGGTAGAAGGAAAGCTGTATGAGCCAACTGTATCTTCAAGAGTAAGCAAAAAGTCTTAAATAAGTGAACATTAAAAACTGTATTCATGATTACCAAAACATGCTACGCAAGGAGATGATTCAAACTTGAACTAACTTTTAGATGGCTGAGGGGTCTAATTAATTTAATACAAAAAATACATTCAACTAAGTATTTTCTAAAATGTATAATTTGTTCTACAATTACTCATTAAGTTATCTAGTGAATTACCATGTAACTTATAAGCTGTAGAATTAATTCTTGGTTACATGGCATTCACCATGTAATTACTAAACAGTCCTGATCATTACAGCCTTCTAATCTACTACAAAAAGACTGTGAAAGTATTTAGTTACAACACTCCTATGCATTTATCAGTGCACAAAAGACATACAGTCTCTGGTTATGTCATTTCATGACTTTTATTTAGCCACTGGCATATCACCAATAGAGAAATAACATTCTGTAACTGTGTTCTGAAAAACTCACCTAGCTTTCAAATTTGGTATAAGAGAGTTTCTCATTTTTATTTGGAAGAAATGCAAATAAATTTTATTAAGCCAATATTTCAAAACCTAACTCTTCCTAATTTTTTAACAAAAATGTTTAATATGACATGTATAAGTCATATTATCTCTAATACTGTTGTGAATTCTCTCCTTATTGCTTGTTTGTTTGTATGGGGAGGGTGAGTACATACAGACCTAGGTTAACTACTGGAATCAATTCTCTCCTTCAGCTAGTTGGTCCCAAGGATGCAACTCTGGTTATCCAGCTTTGCCTGCTTAGCCATCTCTTCAGCCCTACTGTGCTTTTCAATAGGAAAAAAAAAATGTACTCTTCTTATCATAAGAAAAACACATTGAAAATAGAACTAAAACAACACATTTTTAAATGGCATCAGGTTTCACAGGACACTCTAATCAGTTTGGATCATTAATATCGAGAGAAGAAAAAATAAGGCTGTGCTAGAGACACTCAAAAGATGGAGGTTCTTTGTGCTGTTTCTGTCTTGAAGGGGAAAGTTTAGACAGTGTGGGAGCAGACTCCCAAGGGTAAAAGGTGAAGCCTGTAGCCCAAGGCCACACTCACATTTACTGCTCTCTTCCTTCTTCTCAGCCACTGTAATTCAGGTAGCAAAGGCCACTGGTCACTGCCATCTGTGCCTGTGTAAGAGGAAAATGAACATCAAATGGATTTAGACAGCGCTCCTCTGAGAATAGTCTTCAAATATTACATGAAGGAACAGCACCATTAATAATAAATGTCATCACAAAGCCAAAATAGCCTACAGTGAAACAGTGCATTGATTGTTCAACATTTCACACTCACAAAGACAGTTCAAAAGCTATTTTCTTCTCATCATGAAAAATGGGAGGTGTCCAAGGTTGATTAGACGGTGGTTGTTTGACCTACAGCCGTTTAACAATATTGGAAGAACTCTACTATATTTGCCCAGTGTATTTTAGAATTTAAAATGATATGTGGCATAAGATTTTGTATAAATTATGAAAGACTCTGGGCATTAGTACATAGGAATAGTATCACATGCCCCCAGGAAATCAAAAGAAGCCTTTGCCCATATTAGCATACTATAGATGCTTCAGGGGGCAGGGTGAATCGGGGAAGCAATGCAGAATGGCTGGGGAATAGCAAACAAGAAAATCCTCCTAGACCTAAAGTAATCATTCATTTACATTTGGCCACACTCAGGTTCCCAGCCCAGCTTCACACCAGAGATTAATTTGTCATCTCCTCTGAAACAACTCTCCATGCCTCAACCCACGCATGGCTCAGCTGGGACTCTCTTCCCCACCCACACTGCTGACCCCAGCTCTCAGACCAATTTCCCTTCCCAACAAGCCTGCACGACTCCAGGAGTCTGTCAAGTCACAGCCCACACCACCTATCATGGCTATTTTAATTAAAACTTACTGAGATTCTTCATCTGCTTAGAATATTGTCCTGCCAAGGTTTTCTGGATTATGTGTGGTCGGCCTGTGAGTTTCTGAAACAAAAACAATTGTAGGAAATGGGAGAGTAAGACATGAAGACACTCTATGCATCAGTGTTAGCCGACTGTTTCCTCTAGTACCCTTGCTAACTCGGGGACGTTAGCTAACCAGAGGAAAAGGATATGTCTTGTTGAATCTTTAATTTTAAATAAAACAGTGCCCTTCACCTAGCCCAATTTTAGATCAAAGCACAATTTTGTCAGTTGTTCTTAACTCTCAGCTTCTCTCAAAGCCCCAAGTGGGAAATGAATAAGAAAGGAACAGAACGTCCACCAGCATGAGAAAACGTCGGTGCTTTAATACTCCTTGAAAACGCAAATTCCGAAAAGATGAAACAGCAGTTTTCCCACCAGCTTGTAAATGATTCAAAAACTGTGACATCCACAGTCAATTACAGCTGCAAGGCAGAATGTACTCATAGAGTGCTGGTAACACAGCTTGAGAAAGAGTTTAGTAACACCCATAAGCAACCTTGAAAATACCCATATCCTTTGGACTAGAAGTGATACTCACTCTCTACATTATTAGAAGTGGGAGTAGCACTGAAAGCCGAGTGCTTCGTGGCTGCCAATCAGCACTGGTGTGTGTATTGTCCCAACAAGAAGCCCGTATGGTCTGTATTCTATCCCTGCACTAGTTTGCTTTCTGTTGCGATGATAAAACACTAACCAAAACCAACCTGAGAAGGACAGGGTTTATCCCACCTTGCTGGTTACAGTCCATCATGGAAGAAAGTGAGGGTAGGAGCTGAAGTCAGAACCTAGAAGCAGGAGCTGAAGCAGAAATAAGGAAGCAGCAGAAACCACGGAGGAATGCTGCTTACTGGCTTGCTTCCTCTGGCTTGCTCAGCTACTGTTTTGTTTTTTTGTTTTTTGTTTTTGGTTTTTTTTTTACCTACATGATTTATATATTTTATGTGCATTGGCATTTTGCCTGAATGTATGTCTGTAGATGTTGGATCCCCTAAAGGTAGAGTTATAGGCAGTTGTAAGCTGCCATGTGAATGCTAGAAATTGAACCCAGGTCCTCTGGAAGAATGGCCAGTGCTCTTAACCACTGAGCCATCTCTCCACCATCAGCTACCCTTTTTATATAGCCCAGGGATACCTATTTTATCCCACCTGTCTAGGGATAATACCACTTACAGTGGGCTTGGCCATCCTACAAAAATTACCAATTAAGACAATGTTCCACAGGCGTGCCCACAGGCCATTCTGATGGAGACAATTCTTCGGCTAAACTTGCTTCCCTAGTGTTAGGTATGTCAAGTTAACAACCAAGATCAACCCTTGCATTTCTATTTAACAAATAAAAATACTGAGATTCAGAAAGATACATTATTGGGTTAAGTTGTGCTTTGAAATGATCCAATCAATTTATTTAAAATATATATGTAAATGTCTAATTGAAAAATTTGTAAGAGTATTTGCTAAAAGATGATGCGAAATTATCTTTGAGGGTGGTATGATGATGGATAATTACTATTTAGTGAAGTGTTTATTTTGCTTTCCAAATTGTCTAACATATTACTAGATTTGGGGGCTTTTGCAATATTGATAATTGAACCCAGAGTCTCACGCATATGAGGCAAGAGAATCATGCAATCCCCAGCCTGTTTTGTTTGTTTGTTTGTTTGTTTTGGTGTTGTTTTGTTTGTTTAACTTTATTTGAGACAGGTTCTCACTAAGTTCCCCAGCCCGTCCTTGAACTGAAGTTCCTTCTGCTTCAGCCTCCTGAGTAGCTGGGATTGCAAGCATACACCACCACACTCAGCTAATACATTAGTTTTGTAATCCTAAGAATAGCTATTAAAAAGGTCCTTCTTATTACATTGATAGAAAACAATAATTAAGAATATAGCTATTTACCTCCTACTTGCAACAGAATGTGAATTCTCACTGGAACTATCCTGTCCATATTTCTGACTTACTACAAAGTATGCTAAAATTAATACTAACAATAATGTGAACATCCAGAAATTCAAATTCTATTCCAGTCAGCTCTTTATTCTGGTAACATAAAAAGACACCTGTGTAGTGAAGTTCACCTCTGAATCTGCAACACGATTTTTACGACTAATTTAAAGTTTCAAGTTCTGCTCCTTTGCCCCAACCCACAGTGAAAATAAGAACAAATCACTCTGTGAGCAAAAGGGAGGCAGTAGGAGGCAGACAGGGAACAGAAGATAGCAAGCACAGAACCATCAGCCCCAAGCAATATAATTACACTATAACGATGAAGCACAGTTCTTTAAACATTTTGATAATAAGAGTTTACATGTATATAAACCCTTTTAGCAGTTCAGCAGACACTGCAACACATTTATGAATTCACCCAGTGTGCAAAAATTGTCCCATTACAGATGTGCTGGAAATTACTCCATTTACACATTCCTAAAATGCAAAAGCTTAGAGAGCTATTTTGGACCTGTTGCTGTTTTCTTTGGGGGGTTTCTTCAATGAGGGAGGGTGAGAGAGCAGTTAATCAGAGCCAAATGTTAGGTATTTTGCTGAATGTATGACAGTTTTGCTGCAGTAGGGTTATCTGCCTGCCCAAGGAATAGGGAGAGTGTTTTACTCATCAGAATCTTAATCTGGGATAAACATTCGTCACTCTCTGGGAAGTTATAAAGTTGCTAATCAAAACCCCGTACAGACTTGTTCAAATATCACCTTGTACAAGTTAATGGCTTTTCTGTCTCAGAATTGAAAAGTTTTCCCATAGTCATATATGTGTATATGTATATGTATGTCATATACATATATGTGTGCGTGTGTGTGCACAAGTACACACACAAAAAAAATAAGTAAATAAATAAATGTTGCCTTTTATTGTCAAAAGCCTAGATGTCATTACTGGAGAGGGTGCTTTTGTTGCCCTTGCAGAGGACACAGGTTTAGTTCCCAGTGCCCACGTGGCTACTCATAACCGTCTGAACCATCTGTAACTCCACTTCCCAGGATGCTGATGCCCTCTGCTCACCTCCTCAAGCACTGTGCACTCACACACACACACATACACACACACACACACACACACACACACACACACACACACACAC